TTAGAAGAAAAAAAACTCTGGCTCGCTGGCGTATAAGTATCATAAAATTTAATCTTCTTCGAATTTAGTGAATTTTTTCGTTGCTCTGACAAAGATAGGTTTAATAACTAAAAATAAATGTTTAAAAAAAAAGTTAGTATTTTTTATGCCCTCCTCGAGCTTTCAGAACAGCAGTAACCCTTCCGGGCAAAAAAAAAGTACTTGGAAAAAAGAAATTTTCAACCGTGGCAGCATTTTATTGGCCACTATTTCTCGATAAATCGTCTACCTTGTAACTCACTCTTGAGTTCGATTACTGGATTGTAAAATAAAAGTACCAATTCAACGGCTATACACTTATCTTTATTTCGAATTCCAACAACTTTACACTTATTACTATTACTCGTTATTCGAGTTTACAACTTATTGCTTATAGCTCAATTGCTCTTTACACGACAACACTTTAATTAGAACTGCACAATCTGGCAGCCCTTTATAGTAGATTCTTAACAAAACTTCGCCTCCAGAACATACTGACAACTATTGACAACATTCTATTTGCTGTCTAGTTCATTCTGGCAATTTATCGTCAATTCGATTTTGTCCTATATTCCGTGTTCGTCACACTGCCCTCCGCCTAAGTCTTTATTTGCGGCGCCAAATACAAAGCATTTATGTCTCTCATCTTGTCTTCTAGGGTGGTGTTTACTTTCTTAGCCAACCTTCTCTTATTGGAGTTAATACCATGTTCTCCGGATACCCAGTTTCTTGTACATCCCTTGACTTAAAGCTGACTCGAGAGTCCATTCATGATCAGAACGTAATTCCATTGACACTGAATCTCGTTCCCCACTTGTTAATGAATACGTCCGCTACTGGTTCAGTCTTGATAAGAAATTGTGTATACTTCTGGCCACGCGGTGAAATAAATCAAAAAACACATTGGTTTCCAAATTTATTTGTGAGAAATGATCATGCATACTCACGGGAATTCGCTCAAATGGTCCACCCGAATTGTACTTCTTCATCAGGCCATGACTCTTGAACCTCAACCCTTTAGTTGCAATGCATTCAGCATATTTGTCAATTCTGACTGATTCACGACAACCAACCGAATAAAATTGTTTCCTTAACTTCGTGAGTTTTGCACACCAACTTTAAACTGCTCTGCTCTGCCCAATATGCTTTTACGACTGACCTTCCTGTAGTTATTTATCCACTCGTTGTACAGTTATGTAGTTATTTATCCACTCCAGTTCATGCAATACACTTTGCAATTCAGGATCTTCTTGCAGAGATCTTTAATTTTATCCTGTTCTTCCACCTGTGCTGGTCTTCAACTGTAAGTACACTTGTGCTGATGTACGCACGTTCAGCTCTTTCGACTATTAGGACCATTGTACTCGCTTCCTGCTTTCCGACTGGAGGAATACTTGTGCTGGCATACAAGTGTCTTGCTCTTCTAACATTGAGAGCCCTTTTACTGCTTCACACGCTTCCTGCTCTTCCAACTTGAACACTTGCGCTGACATACGTACGTCCAGCTCTTTGGCTGCTAATAAATGTGCTGACCAACGCTCCCAGAACGATTCCAACGCAGCATAAATAACCTCTACTTAACATCGAGTCACTTTCCTTTCTTGTATCTTTCTCCAATTCCTAATTAAAGACATATTCCTTAACATTAATGTTTTTTGCTTCCAAGGCTTTTTGTAACCGTGACTGTAATTTGGACTTTACTCCATTTGCTGTCAAGCCACGTTTTTAGAGCTCTTTTTTCAGTTGTGGAGAATTTAGATCATTAAACTTGGCCATTTTCAAATAACTGTCTTCTTTGAAATTTTTTTACTATCCCATTTCTTGCATGATTTCTTAAGTTCGATTACTGGATTGTTAAATAAAAGTCCCAAAATAATTAAACACTTATCTCTATACCCAGTTCCAATAACTTAAGTTTAACTCCTCATTTTCCAAATTTGCAACTTTTTACTTATATCTTAATTGCTCTTCACACGGCAGCACTCTTACTAGAACTGTGTTTGCTGTACAATCCGGCAGCCCTTATATAGTAGATCTTTAACAGAAGTGGCTTTCTTAGAAAATTTTGGCAATTTCGAATTCGATGTGTAGTTGCTTCTGACAATTTATCGTCAATTCGATTTTGTTCTATCCGTGTCAGTCACAATATGATGAATGACATATTACGAAACTCGTTGATTCGAAAAGAGAGCTGTCAAAACCAAAATTCTTTATATTATTTGCCAATGTAGCCACTTTCAAAAAAAATCGATTGTTTATGTTAAAACATTTTGGATTTTTGCAATTTCCACACTACCATTAGGGTATGCAATTAGTAGGTTTATGTCATTCATTTACTATATACATAAAATACATATTAAAAATTAGACATAGTGGTATACTATATATATAATACTATATCATCTATATATACTTATGTATGGTGACATCGCTAACCCTAGGCGAAAAATCACACTACGCATTTCCATATTTACGGCATTTTTTCTATAAAATACAACACACTAAATCAGAACATATCACAAATATCACAATTGTTGGTCATATGTTCGAATACACTTTGTGCTATTTCTTGTTCTCTATTGATTTGTCAAAAATATTCAAGGGCAAGCATTAGAAGTCATTCACCTCAATGCAGTTAATAATTGTATTTGCATTGTGTACATACTTACATATTTATTTGCTTGCTTTGTACATTTATGCACCACGCAATTACATGAATATTTGTTTATGCGCATTAGCTAGTCCTATTTAACATGTACTAAGCTTAATATGTAAGCAGCCTCTTCCAAGGCTGCGGTTCCATTTTTATACTCTCGCAACCTGTTGCTACAGAGTATAATAGTTTTGTTCACCTAACGGTTGTTTGTATCACCTAAAACTAATCGAGTTAGATATAGGGTTATATATATATAAATGATCAGGATGAAGAGACGAGTTGAAATCCGGGTGACTGTCTGTCCGTCCGTCCGTGCAAGCTCTAACTTGAGTAAAAATTGAGATATCTTTATGAAACTTGGTAGACATGTTTCTTGGTACCGTAAGACGGTTGGTATTGAAGATGGGCGTAATCGGACCACTGCCACGCCCACAAAACGCCATTAATCAAAAACAAATAACTTGCCATAACTAAGCTCCGCAATAAGATAGAAGACTGTTATTTGGTACACAGGATCACATTAGGAAGGGGCATCTGCAGTTAAAACTTTTTTTAAAAAGTGGGCGTGGTCCCGCCTCTAATAGGTTTAATGTGCAAATCTCCCAAACCGCTAATGCTATAATAACAAAATTCACTAGAACCAAATGTTTTTAGCACTTCTATGGACGGTGTGAAAATAGTTGAAACCGGGTGGCAACTCCGCCCACTCCCCATATAACGGTACTGTTAAAAACTACTAAAAGCGCGATAAATCAAGCACTAAACACGCCAGAGACATTAAATTTTATTTCTGAGATGGTATAAATTGGGTTTATAGGAACCGCGCTCAAAATTAGTCAGTGGGCGTGGCACAGCCCACTATTAGGTGAAAACCCATATCTTGAGATCTGCTCAACCGATTTCAACCAAATTCGGTGCATAACGTTCTTTTCATGTTTTTATGTCATAGTGCGAAAATGGGCGAAATCGGACTACAATCACGCTTACTTCCCATGTAACACCATTTTCAATTCCATCTGATTCTTTCACTTTCCACTATGCAAATCAGGTAACAGTGATTATATCGGGGTAAAACTTTGCGTGAATAATGCAATTAAAGTATGCCACCTTGCGGCCAAAAATTGTCTAAATCGAACTAAAACTGTTCAAACCCCTAAGTACTAAATATGTGGACCCCAGTGCCTATAGTTGACCTTCTACCGAAAATATTAGTCAATCCACAAAGAAATCTCAAACGAGTATACCATTTGACTTTGCGAGAGTATAAAATGTTCGGTTACATCCGAACTTAGCCCTTCCTTACTTGTTAATATTATATATATTTAGGAGCAATAGCTTAAAATATGTACTTGGGCTATTCTCCTTGTATGAACTGTTAAAGGTATATAAATTACATACTTATGTATAAAAGCATTAATACAAAACGAAACTATATATATAACGGTATTGAAATATTGCTTAGAATATTATTTAAGGAGAAGAGTTTTGCAAATAAAGTTAGTCTAATGGCTGACCACAAATAGCATCATTACTCGGCCCTTTGTATTTTTTCGCTGTTACAATTTCGCTTAAACTTTTCGTTTTTTCGATATTTGCGCGGTTACAAAAAAGCTTAGTAGCCCTTCAACTATCATTATTTATTGTTCGCAAATAATTTATTATAATTCAATTTTATAATCATAACAATATTACCGACTTGTTCTCTGAGATTCTGTTTCAAACTAAATTCTGTCGGTTATTTATAGCTGTTTTATTTGTGGCATCTCGCCTATTTTGATATCAGCTGTTCAAAACTTCCTAATCTACATGAGTAGAAACCTGTAACAAATTGAGACTTTACTGCAAATGATCTCAAATTGTAATGTAACTAATTTAGGAATGTTTGGTAATAAAAAAATATCCATTTGCGATGATAGCGACATATCAAACAGCTGATATACACAATTTCGTTGTTGCCGGACTAAAAAACGTACAATTTAAATTTTTTGTTCAAAGTGAAATATTTTGTCCTAAAAAGTAAGTAAATAGGTCGATTTATTGTTTTAAATTATCAATTGTTATTGCAAATTATACATAAGCGCTATTTTATGCTTCTTTTGGTAATATAACATCCGATTTGTTAGAGCTTTGACCTATGTTACATGTCACATATTAGTGGCGACACTACAGCTGCCCATTGTCGTCTTCAATATTAGTAATAGTTTTAATTTATGAACAGGCAATTGCAAGCCTGCTGCCGTGAAGACGTGGGTTTGTCTAAATTCTTGTGCTTGTCTCCGTCTATGCGTTCAGCACTTGTAGGCTTGCAGAATTGAAAATACAATCTTAAAAAAAAACTCGCGAAGTGGAAACGCTAGTTAAGCGGATTGTCTATCTTGTTATCATGATAACTGAAAATTCATAACAATCGATGTTACTTATTGTTTAGAGATTGTACTAAATACCATGGGAAATAGCAGATGTAATCAAACAAAAAAAGTTTCTAAAAAACAATTTAAAAGTGAACGTGATGTTTACGTTACATCGAAGTCAAGTTTCGAGGTTAGTGATACTAAATATCTATTTTGCGCTCCTAGGAATATAGTCGGGGGCCAAATTGGTATGATTGGATAGAGGAAATTCTCCACATATAATTATCGCCGCCGGAAACTTACAGTTTTCGAGATATTTGGGTAAATGTATATATTAGGTCTCCCAACGAAGAGGGGGGACAAATCAAAACTGATTTGGGAAAACTTTAGAATATCGTCCTAGATATATAAAAGCAGATAATACCCCAAATACAGAAAGGGACGGCTCTAGAATACCGTCCCAGGAATCGGAGGATAAAATAGGAATGGGTGGATAGAGGAGGTCCTCCAGATCAAGAATATACGTATTCTTTCGATTTAAAATGAATTATGCACTTATATTTTTCACATTTATATATACTAACACTTCACTAGTTCGTTTCTAGACATTTATTTTATATAATATGGTGCAAAAAAAAAACTATGTCAATATTTAAATTATTCTGCAATTCTATTAATTTTGACAATAACAAAAGGGTTGTAAATGTCAAAAACACAATTCCAGAAATCTGATGATATGGCCGAATACTGCACTGGCGGCCTTCTGCCGCACTTCAAAAAAATAACCCTGGACTGTCCAATACCGGGATGTCCTTAGTTCGCCAGTGCAGAAAGTAGTTACAACGAGAAAGAACATGTTCAAAGGGTTTTTTCTTTTGATTTTAATTCAAAAAGAAAACAAAAAGTATTATTGAAAAAGAAACGAATTTCGGAAGAAACTTGTATGCCCCTTGTATCTATATATATATATATTGTAATGTATATATATATATATATATATATATCGATAAGTATATATATATATCTATATATATTGATACGTATATATATTTATATATATATTGATATGTATATATATATATATATATACATATTTTGATACGTATATATATATATTGATATGTATATATATATATATACATATTTTGATACGTATATATATATATTGATATGTATATATATATATATACATATTTTGATACGTATATATATATATTTTTGATATGTATATATATATATGTATATTTTCAATTATTTCATATATATATATATATATATATATATATTTTCAATTATTTCATATATTATATATATATGTCTCCATTAACAAAAAACGCAAACTTAATAAACAGTACGGATGAATGCCGACCGCTCAGGTAGTTCATAGTCCACCGCTTCAGCGCTGGAGGGAGCGTTGATTGTTCTAGGTCCTCAAGTAGCGTTGTGTGATTGACTGTGTCAAGAGCTTTTGACAAGTCCAACGCTACGAGAATCGTCCTCTCGCAGGGTGGCTTCTGGTTGAGGCCATGAACTATCTGGGCGTTTATGACGCTAAGTGCTGTGGTGGTACTGTGCACTTTACGGAAGCCATGCTGATGATCTGCTGGGCTCAGGTGGTGAGTGAATGACGGGAGTAACAAGGCCTCAAGTGTCTTCCCTACTGCGGAAAGAAGAGTTATCGGGCGATAAGACTCCCCTTTGTTGGGGGGTTTCCCAGGTTTCAGTAGTGGGACCACTCTTCCGACTTTCCACACATCGGGTATTTGAAGAGTGGATATCGACAGGTTGAGGACCTTGGTGAGGTAGTTTGCTCCCGTTGGGCCTAGGTGTTTTAACATCAGCATGCTTATTCCATCAGGGCCGATGGATTTAGACGATTTCGCCTTTTTGATGACACTCTGATCCTCCCCATCGGTGAAAGTAAGTGGTGCGCAGTCTTTTGGCATTTTGCGCAGCCGTCGGGTAACACATCGTTTGGCCTTGTCGGTCGAAGGGTGCAGTATAAACTGCCGGCTAAAGTAGCTCGCGCACTTCTTCGGGTCCGAGGAGGCATGGCCGTCGAATTGAATTTCAACCCGATCGTCATGTCTTCTCGGATTTGACAGGGCCTTGACAGTAGTCCAAAGCTTACTCACACGGGTGGAGAGGTTGCAGGACTTCAGGTGCTCTATCCATTTTGTCCGCTTATGATGATTTACCATTTGCCGAATCTCCAAATTGAGATCCCTTATTCGGGGATCACAGGGATCGGCATGGCGTAAGGTGTCGCGCTCGTTTGCTAATACAGCAGCTTCGGCTGGGAAATTAGGGCGGAGTTCCGCGATTCTTCCAGCCGGTATGAAGCGAGCAGTAGCAGCAGCGATCACCTTGCGGAATTGACGCTCGCCGACGATGACATCCGTAGGAATGGATAGTGCGTTGAAGGTGCTCTCAGGAAATTCTGTGAAGCCGACCTAGTTAGCTTTGTTAAAGTTAACATAAGTGCGGTTGTCCACAGAAATAAAGTCAGGAGGTTTCTCGATCGAGATAATTATGGGCAGACGGTCTGATGCGAGAGTTAGCATAGGTCGCCAGGTGATACTATTTATCAGACCACCGCTAGCGATGGTAATATCTGGCGAGCTATTACAGGTGCCCATAATTCTGGTGGAGGCTTCGTCATTCATTCTGCAGAAAGTCGAATCGTCTATCTGTTCCGCCAGCTCCATCCCCCTACGATCTTTTGACAGGCCGGAATGCCAAAGATCGTGATGCGCGTTAAAGTCGCCTAGCATCAAAGGGTTTTCACCACGAAGTAGCGCATCTATGTTCGGGTGATATCCTGTTGGGCAATATGTAACTGGGGGGATGTATATGTTTAATATTGTATTTCGAGCTCGACTTCGCCTGACCGGACAGCTATATCCTGACATTCTAGGGTAGTGTCCCTACGGTCGATGTCAACATCGATAAGACGATACTGCACGGTGTTGTGCAATATGAAGGCTAGGCCTCCACCATTATCTCGCTCGCGATCCTTACGTAAAACGTTGAAACCTGCACAACTCAGAAGATCTGAGCGGCTGTTTAGCTTGGTTTCTTGGACCGCAGCTATCGTTACGCGCTCCCGGCTCATGAATGCAACTATCTCCTCGATCTTACTCTGGAGTCCGTTGCAGTTGAATTGTAAGAGTCGCGTTTGTCGCGGGTGTCCAGTCGTGGGGGCAGACTCCTACAGCATGGGGCAACGTACGACGCACTCCACTCTCGTGTGGTGCGCAGACCAGAACACGACAGAAAGCGACATCAGCCAGTGCAAGAATTGCACTTGACTGATGTGACATTGTGACATTCCATGACTGTGCGAGGAACCAGGAGTTGCTGGGTGGTTCTCGCACGAGGATTGGAGGTGGGAGTTATGCTGTCTGTGTACGCTCCTTAGGGCCGTGGAGGTCCTATCTTGGCCACTCGACTGGAGTGTCAGCGCAGTGCGCCAACATAGTGCAGGTTGCACAGCCGTTGAGGCAGATGTTGCATTATTGCGTTGACAGCATGGGGCAACGTAACTTGTGGTCCACTCCCTATGTGTCTTAAGGCCTGAACAGGTCTTAAGATGGCTCCATCCATTGCATGTATTGCACCTAACCGAGGTGGAGTTTGGATGGAGTCTTTTAGCGCAAACGCAGCAGTAAAATTCCTCGGAGCCCGGGTTGGACTCGATGCCAGCACGGGCTAGGAGGATACGGAGCAACCCTGCTGCTAGGTGTTGCTCCAATGACGACAAACTTAATCTAAAACTCACCGATCCAAACAGGGTTAGATCGCCGAAATAACAGCCCTTGGCCGGATAAAATCCGGGTCAATTCCGGTACCGCAGAACCGGCTGTTGTGGGAATTGGACGTTTGATATATTGTCTGGAGCCCTTTCCACCAAATAACACAATTTTACTTTCGTCACTCCATAAAATATTTCGCCAGTTAAGGTGACTTTTGGCGAACTCCAAACGTAAAAAGAGAGAGATCTCCCGAGCATGCGTTTGCCTACAAGCGTCTTTTCGCGACGATGGCAAAGCTAAAAATAATAATTGAACAAATTTCTGATATTCCTCCAGAAGGGAAAATGACAACCCCTCAAATATGAGTATTAAAATATTTTAGAAAAAAAGTGACAACATAGTAAATTTGTCGATTTACAATTCAAGAAACTTTTAAAGAAAATATTCAATATTCCTCTGATTTATGTATACAGTAAACCGGTTAAGTATCACTCTCCAATCCCTATCTGCCGGTGTCTTGCTGCACTCACGTTTTTCTTAATTTTTAAAGAAAACGGTAATTTTTAAATACATAGAAATAATTTGTTTTGGTACCACTCGCTTAAGTACCACAATCGCTTATGTACTACAAAGCACAAAATCTGCATCTTTGGTTTTGGCACTTAACCGGATTGACTGTATTTGTCAAAGAATTTACGTAAGTACGTTCGAATTTTTGTACACACATTGACTTTGCACTTGCCCATATGCGATGTATGTTTGTAAGAGTGTGTATGGTACATCTCGGATTTTCTACCAACAACACAATGTTGTGACGCTTGTCGTCGCGTCAGTTCTTCGACAGATTGACTCTTTGACATAAAAGCAAAAATGTGTCAACGGAGATTTCACATGAAGTAATGAGTGTACATATCTACATAAAATACATACAAATGTTAAACGCCATAATATATGTATGTCCTGTTACATATGTTTACACTGCATTTGAAAAGAAAATTGAAGCATGAATGTGAAATACGACGGCAAAACACAATTCTGTACTTTATGACTCCATAATGGTGTCAAGTACAATTAATGAATTATTTTAAGAAATATATCAAATACTTTATTAGTAATAATTTAAAGTATTTTGATATATTCTCATAATAAAGTAAAAGAATTAACATAAAATATTTCTCATAATAAAGTAAAAATGAATTAACAAAATAATTAAAAATAATAAATAATAGTTCAATAAAGGGAATATATTTCAAATGGCATATCAATATGCCCAGTTTTGCTCACATATTATATTATCTTCAATATTCGTCGGTTGGTTATGTTAAGAGAGCGTATGTGTACAGATCACCGCTGTTATAAAGCGAAAATGTTACTTTTTCTCGTGCATCTGTGGTGAACTCCTTGATAAATTCCTACAAATTGTTCGCTGTCGAACCTGCACCTTCTCATTGTTTTAAGTTCTCTGACAGCATCGCGCCGTACACCACCTGCACAGTTTGGCTCATCTTTGCGCCTAAGGGATTCCACGGCTTCAGCGTTCAACGTTACCTGTTTTCGATCCGTGCT